TCCTCTGTTTTGTTTACAGTTGGGACTGATATCAACTCTTGAGGCAACGCAGTTTACACTGGAGAGCCGGAGATGGGACTGGGTCCTCCTCCTGCAGCCATTCTAGCACACACAGCACTTGGCACAGAATGCAAGGCTCCAGGAAATGCGTTATCTCTGTCCTCCTGTGTTTCATGATCTTTTGTGGGGAGGGGAGAAAACAAGATAATGCCCCTCTACCCAGCTACTGTGCAACACCCACATACAAAGAAATAATTAATAACTACTTAGTAGTACCAGCTAATCAATACAAGCCTAGCATAGATTTTTCCCAGGTGGTAGCACAGATGCCGAGGCGAAGGGAGGCTTTCTGAGGAGCTGAACTTTAAGGGGAGTGCCTCCTGCGCCTCAAAGCTGTCTTTGAGTGGTCAGAGGCTTAAGTCATAGAATCGGGGGAATTTGGCTGCTGTGTGCCTTCCTTGAAACTATGGTCAGCTGCCCTTCTGTTCCTGGACTTCCCTGAGCAGGCGTCCTGGCCTCGCCTCCCTGTCATTACAGTTTTCCCATCTCCTTGCCTGAAACCCATATGATACCCAAGGGTCAGCATATCCTCCCCCCATGGACACCTTCACAACAATATTGTGGCACTCAGTGCATCTGCCCTCTCTAGTCACTTCCTCTGTGTGCCCCTTGTCTGCACAGGAAGTCTTTCTGTGTTCCTTTGGGAGTCTCCCTCGCATTTGTGCCATGTGTTCACACTCAATCTTCATCTGAATTTTGGCAGTGAGTGGTTCTGTTCCTTCCTTATACCATAGCTTTCATGGGACACTTCCCCTTCCAGAGATAATGGACATTAAATCTGGTCTCTTCCTTAGTAGCTCTCCCTTTGCCTCTAGTTGCTGCTGTAGCCAGGCCAGATTCTAGGTGACCAGAGAGCCTGGACCTCAGACACGTTGGCCTCATTCCCTCCCCTGAGCTGATTCACATCTAGCTCCGGGCCCAGCTCACACTGATCTTTCTCTGAGTGTGAGTACTGCTCTGTCTTAGTTATCCCGCATCATAGGCATCCTGTATGACTTCCCTTATAAATTTGTCAATTCAGAGAAACCAATTTTTCCTCTAGTGCTATGCTTAAGACAGAGTGCTACCAGTAAAAAAAAAAAAACATTGTTTTATGCTTAGGCCACATACCTATAGTTTGTGGCCTAAATTTCGTATACTTATCAAGTCTTAAGTAATCCTAAGTATTATCATAATTTATTAACATTTATTCCCAAGTACAGTAAAACCTTGACTACAAATGAGTTCCATAGCAGGAGAATGTTCATAAATCAGATTTGTTGGTAAATCCAACAAAGTGAGTCTTATACGTCTTTGACACACACATACAAGGTAAAGCTTATGCTGAAGAACTAAGGCCGCCCAAAAAAAACACAGCAAGTCCCCAATTGTTCTGTACTTTGCACAGCAGCACACCTGTGATGGTGTCTGGCAAACATGTGAGCTGCTGCCATAGTTTGTTCCTGTCTACGAATGCTCATAACTCAGGATTCGTTTGTGTCTGTGAAAGTTCGCAACTCAATAGTTCCTAAGTTTGGGGACTTAATGTAATTGTAAAAATACTGGAATAGGACTGGAATTGCAGCTTGGTTAGAGAGTACTTGTCTAGCAGCATGCATGCAGCTCTGGGTTTGACCTCCAGCACCCCAAAAAACAAGTTACAAGAATAATTACCTGAAAATGGGAATAATTTTCCCATCCTGATGATACCTGGAGTTGTCTGTACCAAGCAGAGAGCATTGTGCATGTGCAGGTTTCAGCTGTGTGACATTATGGGTGGGGTTCCCCCATTTTAATGAAATTGGTCATCTCAAGTAGTAATTCAGCCTAGATTAAGGAGGAAGACTTTTAAGATGTCTGTGTCACCACTTGACAATACCAGCTCAAGTTCTGAGTATCTTCCACCTCTGTTGGTAACACCTGCCATACTCCACGTCCTGTGCTTTCCAGACGAGCAAGTGCCAAGATTCAGGTCTTTATTGGGTGGCACTCAGGCTCACCAGGCTTTTTACCCAGATCCTCAGGGTGGCCGCTCGGCCCAGCACGGAAGTGCAGACTTCAGAGGCAGCAGATGTAGGTTAAGGCCATACTGGCCACATGCTCTGTGTTACTGCAGTGTACCGTCTGTGCACATGAGTGCAGCGTCCTCAGTGTGGGCTCTGCAGGGAGGTTTGGGAGCTCTGCAGCACTGGGGCCCTCCCTTGGGCAGGAGCACTGGAGTCAAAGGTCAGGAACAACACAGACTTAATCTTCCCCACTGTGCTAGAGCTCTGAAAGCCTAATGCTAGTCTGGGCGCGGTGGGGGTATAGGTGGAGTTGGGGGAACGGGAAGCACAAAGGCTCCATGCTCATGGACTGTACAACCTGGTGAGTGTGTCACTTAGGTAACACTTAGTCCAGTGGTGGCGAAACTGTGGCATGCATGCTGTTTCTCTTGTGAGACAGAAGATATTAATGTACAAGTTGTTTTTCTAACCAAAAACCTCAATATTCAGGTTTAATTGCAGTGTTGGTGCTTGGTGATAAATAAGTAAGTTTTGGGTTGCAGTGTTGGCACTTGTCTCTAAGAAGTTCACCATCACTGAGAAAACAGATGTGGAAACCCTTTCTGGTAAAATAAAAGCTATTTGGTTTGAAGAAAGAGGAGTGCTTATTTATTTATTTATTTATTAGTCCTTTTGAGATAGTGTCACTATGTAGTTCAGGCCGGCCTTCAACTCACTTTGTAGCCCAGGCTGGCCTCAAACTCACAGCAATCCTCCTGTCTCAGTCTTCTGAGTGCTGGGATTACAGGCATGCACTGCCACGACCTACTAAGACAGGTGTACTTGCTCCCTCATCAGTGACACAGAGCTCCCAATGAGCCTTGTGAGAACTACTGATCACATTGATAAACACGTTTTAGAACTGAATCAAACAAATCCCAGAAGAGCGAAAGAACCGTGGAATCGACCAGTCATTGGAGAAGAAGATAGGATCCCAGGTCTTCTGGTTTATGGTGTAGTCATTCATGTCTTTATGAATCAGGCTAGATATGTATCTCGCTATGTCATGTCTCAGTGCTTTAAAAATATTCGCATGTGTAATAAAAGATCTCAAAATTAAAAATACAGTTAACTTTCCAAACACACACACACACACACACACACACACACACACACACACACACACAGACAAGACCCATTGTTAGCAATTTCAGAGTATGAGGAGGCCAGGTTTTCCTTCCTATGCATATGTTAGTAATTCCAGCATATTTGTGAAGCCAAACAACCTCTATATCCTGAAGAATATTTGCTATAGGGACATTTATCATGATTTTTATGGAATTAAAATATCCTACTCAGAGCACAGTGAAATTTCAAGGCTGAACAAGTTCCATGCAGGACATGTTTTTAAAATATAAAAATAGATACACCAAATGACTTCCAGTTTAAGAGCAAAGTTTCCCTTGTTACTCATTCTGAGCTTTGGCTCGCTCAGGGATTTGGCTGCCTTCATAGAGCTGGGAAGAGGTGCACATAGCAGTCCACGGTGCACCTTGCCTATGTCTTTGCAAACTCTTTGGGGTGACTGCATTTTCCCTGAGCCGCTGGGCCCAGACAGAGGAGACCCCAGTCCATTATCTTGCACTTTGACTGACTCCTAGCAATTGCCTGCTACTCGATGTTCCTGCTTATTGATTTCCCAGAAAGGAGAGACTTTGACCTATTTATTGCTGATTTTAAAATGGCATCTAACATGCAACTGAGTAATGTAAACTGAGTAAAGTCAAGTCTGAATAAGGAATGAAGGAATGCTTCAGTAATCTGTGTCATCCAAAATTGCTAATTACATTGACTTACTCAATTTGAGTCCCCTTTAGAGCTAATTTTTTTTTTTTTTTGTCTTTTTCATTTTTATCAGTACCAGGGATCGAACTCACGACCACCTGCTTGCCAGGCAGGTGCTTATGCCGCTGAGCTAAACCCCCAGCCCCAGAGCTAATTTTTTTATAGCTTAGATAGCCTTAAAGCATTTATGTCAGTGCCTTAATATCAGTATAGCAAAAGGTCTGCACAAGTATGTGACTTTATCTTCTTGTTTTTACCTGCCTCAAATTCAGCTTTAAATTATTTTATTCCTAAGCGAATTATGAATGTAAACTTTTTGTTGACATAAGATTCTATTCTTTTTTTTCTATTCTAGCCTTACCACTTATGGTAAGTATTTGACCTATAAAGTCAACAGTCATCTTGATGGGTTAGTATTGTTCAAATCTCAGAATCCTGGATATGAAGAAGTGCTAGCTGAGTGTGGTGGCACACACCTGTCATGTCAGTGCTTGGGAGGCTGAGGCAAGAGGATCAGTAAGAGTTCAAGACCAGCCTGAGCTACAGAATGAGCTCAAAGCTAGTCTGAACTCCATAGCGAGACCCTATCTCAAAAGCCCTTTTTGGGGCTGGGGATTTAGCTCAGCGGCATAAGCGCCTGCCTTACAAGCAGGCAGTCGTGAGTTCGATCCCTGGTACCGATAAAAACGAAAAAGACCAAAAAAAAAAAAAGCCCTTTTTAAAAAAGTGGTTAGAAATAAGGACATAGGAATAACAACTTAAACGGAGTAAGCCAACCTTTTACACCTTGGAAATTATCTATTAAACTATTACACATGGATGAATATGCTGGTTTCTATTAGTGACAGTGACTACATTCAGCATGTACATTGTATTTTCCCAAATATTTTACATTCTTCTCTGATGCTCCTCACTGTACTGTAAAGTGGGGCTGGGAAGTTCTCCGGGTGATAAGAAAACTATTAAAAGATTAAACAGATACTAAAACCCGAAAAATTAGAGGAAGCTGCCCGAGGTGGACAAGAACTTAAGTTCTAAGACTGGTGTTTCTTCAAAACTTGGAAGAACAAAGAAGTCAGTGTAGTTTTTATATATGTCATAAATTTTGTGGGAATACCAAGACAAAAGTCATTATATAATGAAAACTTTAATATACAGTTTTGGTAGGGCCTAGTACATAATAAACACTAACAGCTCTGTGTTCTGTTAAACTGAATAAAAAGATACATTTCAGCAAATTACAGCGAAGGAGATAGATGCCGACTATGACCAGTATAACAAAATTTTTTAAAAATTATGTGTATTAGATTTACATTTAAGGTTATAGGCAAGATTAATTTATATTTTTAGTAAACTCTACTGCTTTTTGTAATATTTTGATCTTGATAAGTGAAAAATAGCGATGCTGATCTTGAAATACTGTGTTTTAATCTTTTAAAAAATAATTTACACTTGCAGAAGTTTCAAACCTGGGGTGGAATCGCATGGATACCTTTTTGCTATCTTTCTTTAATGTTAATAAATCACTGTTTTCACATAATAATAAATAGGAGTAACTCATAAATTCTGCTTACCTGTCTGTATGCTTTTGTTCTTGAATTATACATAATTTTCAATGGTACTTGGAGAGTTCTTAGCTAATAGCAGATGTCAAACCAACGGTAAAGGACGTGTTTACTTGGTCTAGCTCAGCATGCTGCCTCCTGTCTTAGTGAGGTGGCTTCTGTGTAGAGGTGGGAAACTGAATGTTTTTGACTTTCAGCGAACCTCTAAAAGGCTTTGTATACCTTTGCTTGCTTATCTGTGGCTGGCAAATCAGACTGACTGGTATAATGATACTGAGGATAACAGGGATTATGTTTCTCACTGATGACAAATTCTACTACTGTAAACCGCATGAGTGAACCTTATAAGTGGCAGCAGAAAACTTGAAGCTACTTGATGTTTTGTGGTTTAAGAACAATACTTGAGTACGACTGTATGCATGAAAATGCATAGGGAGATATTTCTCTTGTCTTAATATAATTATTTTCAAGATGAAGATGTTCCAAAGTGGAGTCATCATCCTCTTCCGCGTTACAAATTTGTTCTGGAAGAATATTCCTAAAGAAAAACAGAGAGGAAATCATAAATGGTCCAAGTACGTAGTACTCTGGCTTCGTGATTCAGAAATTGTTTTATATCTGTTTCTGTAAAGCTTTGTCCTCCATGTTACATCCTTTTGTCATATCACACACCAGAATAAATCCCAACTATGTAAAAAAAAATCTTAATGTGAGAAATGAAGTGATAAATACACTCAGTTGGGACATAGTCATACCCTATGTGTAAAGAAATCTTCCCCTTTGTGACTTGAAAACCATACACATCCTGCTATGATATGGATGTACAACTCATCCCCTAAGGGACACGTGTTGGAAGCTTAGTTCTCCTTGGGGGAGTGTTAAGGTTGGTGGAACCTTACAAGGCGGAGCCTACTGAGAGGTGACTTTGTCACTGGGGCACTGCCCTTGAAAGGGATTAATACAGGTCTTTCGGAGTGAGTGCCTGCACAAGTGGATTGTTACCATCTGGCATGACCAGAGTGAGTCACAGGTGCCAAGTGGAATGGCTGCCATTGGTGAAAGATAGGACAATTTCAGGAGAACAGCAGTGGATTTTATATACTACGTATATAAAAGTGTAAGTGCAGATTATTCTCCAGAGAGAGAGAACCTCAAAAAAAAAAAATAGTAAAGTAAAAGCACATAGAGTGCTTATTCTGAGTGACAATTTAAAGCAAAGAACTGAGTGTCTATCCTGCCTTTCAGAGTAAACAGTACTCCTAGTCAAAGAGCAGAATTTTACAGAGTACTTTCAGATAAGATGCATAGGAAGAATAACAGAAACTGATCCTAGATTCAGATGACAGTCATTATGAGCCATCGGTTCAGTGGTTGGTGGAGGGAGAAGTGTGTTATGAAGACACTAGGCTGTGGCCACCTGACTCCACTGATAGGTTTTAGGTCATCGGAAGTGGACAGTGTGCTTCCTTATGCCCTGCTGTGTGGAACATACCACATGACCAGTGGGAAAACTTTGACACAGAGTATTACAGAGCTCTCTTCACCCCGCTAGTTTGCTTCCTGCTTCTGCCCACGCCAGTACTAGAGACTGAACTCAGGGTCACACTAACTTACTTTCTCACCTCTCCCTACAACCCCAGGGTCTTACTAAGTTGCTTAATGACCTGCAATCCTCCTGCTCCATCCTTCCAGAGTGCTAGGATTACAGTACATGCCCCTACTCTTGGCTAACCACTGTGGAACCTTTCCCTGTTTTGTTTTTTAAGGGATTTAATTTGGAATTTTATAAGTAGAAAAAGGCTAACAGAGATTAGGTCACTGTCTCCCTCACTGCCAGTGGTAAGGTCACATCCTCAAAGTATCCTGGATGAAAGCTTGCATCATTCATGTGTCTAGACAGGGGACTTCTGAATGCAGGCCAAAAAATATGTCCTTGAGAGTGAGAAGAGTTGAGTCTCAATAAATTTATTCAGAGTTCTACCCTCAAAAAAATCTAGATAGAAAAAATCTTAATTTTAGCATATATTTAGGATTGTCCTCTGCAGATCAGTCTCTTAAAATTACACATGTAACAGGTGTGTGAGCTTTCTGTCAGTATGTGAGAACATCGGACAAAATCAACTTAAGGGAGTAAAGATGAATTTCGGCTGCGTTTCAGAGGTTTTGGTGCATAGCTTTTTGGTCCCATCACTATGGGCTGTGGCAGTGGTGGCAAATCTATGACACCCATGCACCCACAGGCTGTTCATTGTCACTGCAAACTCTAAAAGCTGGGGCTGGAGGTTTAGCTCAGCAGCATAAGCGCCTGCTTTGCAAGCAGGCAGTCGTGAGTTCGATCCCCAGTACCAATATAAAAGGAAAAAGACAAAAAAAAAAAAAAAAAAAACCTCTTGCTTTCAAACTCTAAAAGCCCCTTCATCACTGGCTGTGGTGACATGGCTCATCACGTAAGCAACACACGATAGAGCAGAACTGCTCACCTCGAGGTGGGCAGGACGGCAAGAATGCACGTGGAAGGGACCAGGCCTCATGCACCCTTCAAGGCATCTCCCCAGGGTGTTCTTCCTCTCACTAGGCCCTGCCTCCTGAGGCTCCCACCACCTCATGATGCCGCCTGCTGGGATCCGTCTTTAGCACGTGAGGTTTTGGGGACACTGAAGATTGAAACCACAATAGTGGAACAGGGGTATAGCCCATTTACTGCTTCACAGCCTTACTGAACCTGTTTTTAAGGGTGTGCATATTGGGTAATAATACTCTGCTATGGAAGTTTCCAAACAGAAAAAACTAACAGATTTTCACATACCTAACACCCTACTTTAACAATTATTAACATTAAATTATTAATGTTGTTTAAGCAAACCCTTAGCATTTTTTTTTTCTCGTTTGTTGATGGGGTTGTTTACTTTTGTGGCACTGGGGATTTTACCCAGAGCCTTTGTGTTGAGCTATCCCCAGATGTTTTCCCCTGTCTTGATACAGGCTCATGCTAAGTTGCCCAGGCTGGGTTTGAACTCATAATCCTCCTGCCCCAGCCTCCCAGAGTGCTAGGGTGACAGGTGTGCACCACCACATGAGCTCCTTGGCACTCCCTTTTCCCTTAAATCCCAAAGTTCATGTCACAGTGGTTTAAATATTTTATCACACAATTCAAATTGGTACTTGAAAAAGCCAGAGTTTACCGAATCTTATTGTTGTTCAGCCTCAGAAAATGTAGCGCTTTCATTTCCGGAATCCCGGGTGGTACACATTTCAAGCCATTGTGATCCAGAAATAGCTCTCTCAGAGAATGAAACGCCCCATAGAACGAAACTCGGTCCACACTGTCATCGGTGAGTTTGTTAAAAGACAGGTACAGATATTCCAAACCTGGCTCCATGTGGCCAAACACGTAGCCTGGGATCAGTTCAATCTGGTTCCCCATGAGCACAAGGTGCAGCAGGGACTTGGGCAGGTAGGAGGGGACGCTGTAGAGCTTGTTGTAGGAGAGATCGATCGATTCTAGGTTTCTGCAGCAAAGAACAAGTGAACATAGTCGGGAACCAACCTCAATTCAAGTAGTGACTGGCAGCTCTGAATCCTGATGAGGTCAGTTGTGCTACTGGTCATCTTTCTGGAGGCCCCACATTGCAGTGGTGATCCTAACCTGAACTGACTGTGTGCTCACCCAGGTCTGGCTGGCTCCCAGGCTTCTGTTTTACCAGCACCCATGTGGCCTCCCAGCTAATATTTCATCAGAGGGGTGCGCCAGAGTGCAGGGGAGAAGACTCAGGTCCTAGGGTAACAGGGAAGTCATAGTGATGGAAAGATGTTCTCCAACTATTCTTATGGTCAAGCTATTGAATCAGACATGAAATCCATGAGTCCCTGGTTCTACGGAGGATGTTTTTTTTCCCTTTGTTTTTGAGTTTTCTCCAAGTTTGATTTTTCTCCCACATGTTCATTCCATGTTTGATTTGATGGCCTGGCACACTTGGGACTTGGGGTGAGACCAAAAGATCTAGAAGTTGTTACCAGCCAGGGGATCCCAGGCAGGTGGTGGGGTCCCCGGCTGGTTTCAGGAGCTTCCCCTGAAATGCCTGGTGAAGACTTTACCATGCACAGCAACTCAGACTTACCCTCCAGTTGGCCCTAAAGACCTCCTTTCATCTCTTCCCTTTCTACATCTGAATGACTGATGTCCTGGGCTGTGCTATCCAGAGATGTCATTCTGGGACGCACAGCATATGTGTGGATCATCATTTGGCCACGCTGCCAGGGCTCGCCTCCAACTCCCTTTCCCTTCACTGAGGAATACATCAAGTCTGCTGATTCCCAGCTAGGATGATGGATTCTACTATCTGCCTCCACTGTCAGGCCCAGCCTTTTAAAACCTATTTGTAAGACTTGAAATGGAGAAATAGTTTGAACAAAAGAGGCCAGTGGTATGGGAGGACAGGCCTGGCCTTTGGAACTTGCTCCTCTGTAGTGGTGATGAGGAGTAAGGTGGCACATTTCTTTCTCACTGTATATGAGGTGGTGTCCACATAAGCTGCCTACCAGCCTGAGCGGCAGGCAGAGCTAAGCAGCGGTTGAGGGCTGTGATCAGAAGTCAGTTCCTGCTGGCTCACCACCTGCCAAGCAGCAAGGTCCCTGTTTAGGCAGCAGTGATCCTAACACTATGAAGTGGCCAAGCTGGGGTAGGGCAAGAGTTCCTAAGGGTGTTGGGAAAATTCAATGGCAGCATGTACTTACTCCTGATTTATCCAGGCTAAAGGAGCAATTCTGCTTTCTTCTATTTTATTATAACGTAGTACAATCACATTTATCTTTTTGGTATGATTGAAACAAATTTCAGTTATTTCTTCAATTTGGTTATTTGCTAGATGTAATTCCTATAATTAAGAGAAAGGAGTATTATTTTTGCCATTTATATTTGTTAATATAGTCAACTTTACAGATACTAAAGTTATAAAGAAGACTATTCTTAGTATTATTGAAAGACTTTTAAATGTGTTCATGGTTTCAAATTGTCTAAACTATCTGTTGATAAAATTAAGTGGTTTTTATTTAGCTCTTAAACAATGATATATTGCAAGAGTCAGCATACCATATACAATTTGCAAAACCAGGGACCTCAGGTGGACTTTAAAGTCTGAAGAGTAAGTAGAAATTATTATATATCCACTCACCACTGAGTAACTCAGACCCAAAGAGATGGTGGTGCTTGTCCACGGTGCCAGGACTGATACATGAGAGGGACTCTTCCTAGGGGAGCCTTTAGCTCTGGCCCAGCTTTCTAGTGTTCCATGGCGCTGTAATATTGTTAGGCTCACATTCCAAACAAACTTATATTTAATTAAGAGTTAATTGAGTAATTGAGAGCCTTAATTTAGGATCATAATGACGCTTGCTAGAACTATTTGAATATTTAAGAACTGGCTGCCTTCAAGTTAAACTAGTTTACATTAAAATGAATGTTTTACTAAGAGAATATGAATTATAAAATTCTGCTTGTTCTGGTTAGAATGCAGAAATAGAAGTAGCATGTACCTTTGGTGTGACTTTCCATTCCTGTCATGGTAACTCCCCGCTTTGTCACTTAATTGTGGTGTTTGTTAGAAGTGGGTAAAGCAGTTTTCAGCTTTTTGTTTTACCTCCATGTCTAATTCACAGATGAGCTAAATGAGTGGCTCCCAAACGTGGAACACCTCGTGAGCTTATTGAAGTGTTAATTCCAACCTAAATGTTTGCCAGTAAGGGACTAGTTAAATCCTAACTAAATCCTGGCATACTTTTCTATACCTAGATAACTCACAATTCTAGGAATGATGTGTGAGAGTCTTAAGATACGTAATGAGACGAGTGTGGCATGATTTAGAAGGCTTGAGAGCACACACCATGTACTTGTATACACATGTGTACTTGTATGCCTGTATTCTTTGGCATTGTCCAAGCTGTATGTGTGTTTTACTGGTGGTAAAAACTGTCTGATGACCTTTTATAAAATTCTAAGTCCTAGCTATGTTCTCCAAAGAATCTGACTTAGAATGTCTGTGACAGATTCAGGAGTCTGTATACCTTAGGAACCCAAGTGATTCTGGTAAGCATGAGATCATAACAGGTGACCTTCTTCTGGTTGGCTGGGTCCACTGCCAGACAAGCTCTATCCTGAGTTCTGATGAGATGATCATGTGGTGTGGTAGAAATGGAGCTCAGATAAGAAACCTGGCTTCCAGCTGGGTCTGTCAGGATTTATAAACTCTGAGATCCTCAGTGTTCCTACTGCAGGAAATGTGAAGTGTTGAGACTCATTGGCAAAGACTTCCTGGGCATCCCTTGCAGGGGAGACTAATTACACTCTTCAAAATTGTTGGGGTGCTTCAGAAGGATTAAAACAAAGACGGTGGCCTGGGCCTAGAGGTTATCACAGGACAGTCTTGGTAAGAGCTGGTCAAATTTTGTAAGCTACCAAGTTGCAGGAACAGGTGAAGCCTTCTTAGTGGAATACTTGCACCAGCTATTTGCTGCTTGCTGGGCTGTGCTTTTGCCTGGAACTTGTGAGTGGGTACAGGTGGCACTGACCGGTTGTGCTCTACTGTGCTGGATGTTGTAGTTCTGCTTGGGACAGTTGGAACTATCTTAAGTGTCGGATGCCTTTCAGAAGTTGTGCTTTCTGTTCAGATTCTTAGTTTCTCTTTCCCATTCTCCCCAAGAGCTGTCAGCAGTATCATTGTTCACTTTATCAGGGGTACAGAATGCTTGTATTATAAAAAAAGATTTATGTACAGCACCAAAACTCTGCCTAGTTTAATATACTTTACCATGGTCTTTTAAGAGACAGTTTTATTGTAGTATATTTTATCCAAAATATATTTAAAATATAGAAGAAAGATATCATTACCTCAATAGTAGCAGGAAGACCTTGTGGAATAATTCTAAATTTATTTTTTCCCAGACGCAGGTAGGATAGGCTCTTCAAAGGTTTGAAGGCTAAAGGATCAACATTGGCTTCACTGAGGTTGTTTCCTTCCAATTCTAAGGAGACCAACTGATCTAAGTCTACAAAAACAAAATTATAAGAATATTAGAATAATTGGAAAAACATGCAATTTGGACTTGGGGTACAGCTCAGTGGTAGAGCACTTGCTCAGCATGTGTGAGGGCCTAGGTTTGATCCCCAGAACCACAAAAGACAGAAGAAAAATAACCATGCCGTTTTTATAGCCTGCATGTGAAAAGATTCAGTTTATTTGAAGGTGTATAGTGTCTTTATCTTTGTTCCTTCCCTGCCCCATAGATCCCATTCCTAAGTTTGGACATCTCAGATGCACATTTCAACCAGGACAAAATGCACAATGCAGAGAAGAAATCATTCAAGTGTATAGAATACAGATATATGTAAGAGGGAGGGGGAAGAAGAGAGGGAGAAATGTCGGGAAAAGTCAGTGGCAGTGTTTGCAGTGCCAGACTGGGATGAACTGGCAGCCTGATAGGTCATAGGTTGGTGAGTGCTTACCTTTTCCCAGTCTCTGAACAAGAGAGTTAGCAACAAAGCAGAACAGTCAATTCCCTGTGTAGTGATGTACTGATTGACACAGAGTTTTCAGTTTAAAATTAAAAGCATCAAAACCTCAGTCATTCAAATTAAGCTACCACAAAGTCCATACCTCTCCCACTGGCCCAGGAGTGGTATCATCGAGGTCAGTTGGAAGCTTCAAGGAAAACACTGACCACTCAGCAGTGACATACCCGGGGCATCTGGTCAGAGGTTTAGGGTGTGGCCAAGATTCCCAAATAAGGGATATTTCCCAGTTTGTCACGAGCAGTGCACAGGAATGCCTTGTGCAACTTAGTCCTACACTTAAGCATCAGCAAAGACAATTACATGAGAAGTAGAGATAATAAAGATTAAAATAGAAAGCAGGGTAGATTTGAGTAGTAGGGGAGTGGTACACTCTTAAGGGGAGGAATATTTAGATAGAAGTAAGAGGAGCTTCTAGGTTGAAACAGTCACGTGAGCACACACAGGTGAAGGGCTGTACCAGGGCTCACCTGCCCACTGCCAGCCAAACCCACCTTTCCATCCCCAGCAGTCGAGCAGGCCCAGCAGCTGCCCCAGCCAAGGGAGCACCCAGCACTCACAGAAGCAGTGCAGCAGCTGGACTAAGAACCCAGCCTACCCAGGAAGTGCAGGGAAGTTTCCAGGGCTAGAGGACAGCAGAGAGCTTCCTATGTGGCCACCTGCATGGGAACAAGGCCGCCTCTGTGCTTGGAGTTGGTGGTTAGGAGGGCAGGCAGCCAGTTTACCTTGGACCACACATCAGTACTCTGGTAATATAGAAGCACTGATGTCTGAACCATTCCATGGATGTGTGAGACCACTTGCAAAATAAGGAGTTTATGTTTTATAAGTGTCATTTTGATAGCACAAATGCGAATCCACACACAGTTCATACTAGCCTCTTAGTGTATTGTTCCACTTCCCTTCAGTCTCTGTTTAATGGAGCAGAAATGAAATTTTCCAGTGCCTTCTACATATGACAAAGCACATCAAAATTTGGGTTTATTAATGTTTTTCATGTGTACCCTTGAAATGCATCTGGAAATTGAGTATTTCCCTAACTATGTAATACTCATATTTGGCAATTTTTATAGTTATTGTTCTCTTGTCATCAGCAAAAGTGTTTTGTTCCTGTGAAGTTTCTTAGCACTAAGGGAAACAACTGGAAATGCTAGGTTTATCAACAGTTATATAAAAATGTTTCCAATAAAGTTAAGAGAGAGCATTGAGCACTGTATCTCAAGAACTCTTCTGGGTAATTAGGAGGACAGAAGAAAAATGTAAACAATCTTTAAGGAAGCATGCAGTCTAATCAAAAGTGTCAGCTAGATTCTGTGAAGTATGAAATGTGATCCAGCCTCTTTTGTAGGGTTACATTATGTGTACATCAGCTATCTCATGTGGTCCAGAAGCAAAACCTGTTCCTGCAGGTTCAAATGCTTCTCAGTAGAGTCCGTCCTTCAAAAAGCCGGGCCATACCCACAGCCTCACTCTATGTACCCTGAAACAAGAGAGGAGCAGGAACCCAGGGCCAGCCCACACCCTCAGGAACAGAGCCGCCACCTCAAGCCACTGCCATAAGCATCACTGCCTTCACAGAGTGACAGCACCTCCACCTCATACACAAGCCTGCATGTTCTACTGTACACACAGTTCTCATGTGTTTAGTTTTAGGTTCTAACACACGACAAGGTAAAATAACACCATGTTGTCATAGGCATAGTGCAAACTGTTGATGGGAAGATGAAGGAAACCCAATCACCAGATCACCAACAGCCAACAAAAGTATCAGTACAGAGCACCAAACTTTATGGCACAGTGGGCAGTATTTAGTGTGGTTCTCTGGGTGTTAGGGATTTGTAGGAGAGTCATTGTACTACACATGATGCGAACCTAGAATCACTGAAAGTTTTGTTTGAGGTTAGTGTGCTTTTTAAAAGATAATACGCAATGTAAAATATGCTTTTAAGTTTTACCAGTTCATAAATTTTTATCAATTTAAATGGTAATGACCTAAAGATTTTTTTAGTTATACATTTGGCAGTACTGTAAATCAGAGTTACAACAGAAAAAAGATTCTCAGGAAACATGCCACAAAAAAACAGATGTTAAATACCCGAAAAACTTTCTTCATCAATAGCCTGAAGATTATTTTCATTGACGTTGAGTTCTTCTAAGGTAGATGGTAATCCTGAAGGAATGTGCACTAAATTATTTTCATCCATATTCAGGCGCACCAACTTCTTCAGAAGCTTAAAAAGCAAATATTAAATTACCATTTTTATCTTATCACCTGTATGGTCACATATTCCATACAATGGGCACTTTTTAGGAAAAGAATATAAATCTCACAAACTTGGATGACCTTTGTCTTAATAATGGGCAGGCCACATGCCAATCCTCTCTCTACCACGTAAATGTTAGCACAGTAACAGCTTTTATTCACATGCATTTGCAGCAAACCACGTTTGATGACTTTATATTCTACTCACCCATATTTGTATTGCAACTTTAGAAAGCTAGAGAACAAAAGAAAGAAAGAATGAAAGAAAAGAAAAGAAAAGAAAGAAAGAAAAAGAGAGAAAGAAATAGCAAGCAAGCTACTCTTAAATTTGCTAGGTCTTTATCTTCATAGCAGGAGATAGAAATTTCATTAAATCATGCATTAATCTGACTGATGTGTGCTTAGAGGTAAGATGGCTTTTAATCTGTATTTGTAAAGTTTCATATGTACATTATTATTTATGTGAGGAAAGAGGTCATAATAAAACACTAATTACTGTGTAAAGTTTTTAAAACAAAATGCTACAAATATCACAGGCTATTTCTATGTGGTCCTCAAATAACTGCCTGAAAAAGTGCTTTTCCACTTTTATAGTTGCATGTTTATTTCCAAGCCTGGCCTGAAGTAGCAAAAATGGAGAACTAAAGTTGAGTTCTTTAGTGAATCTATGTGGAATGATTCACTTCTCCAGTAATCATAGTCCAGTTTCAAATTTATAGCAGGACAAGAAATTCCCCAGCCAAGAAAAGGAGGTAATCTACAGTGTTTTTCTTGTGACCAAATAGAAGATATATATGGCTCCTAATGCCAACTGTTAGAAAGATGGATAGCTTCAAGCAGGTACCAGGAGCCCTGTTACCTGTCTGCTCGGGCTCTAGAAGAGAACCAGGAGCTAAGAACACAAGAGGCTCGCGATGTGTGAGAACTGTTGGGGGACCCGGAAGGCTGTCCAGAGGAGCAGGGTTTGAGCTAGTGTAATGTAGTGTTTTACTTATGTCTCTTAAGGCGCACACATGTATGAGCCTTCTTTACACACACCAGCCTTTAACCTTCCCTGTCTTCTACTGTTGTTGCCCTGAAATTTCTTGATTTCTCTTTTCCTTTCTGTAGAAAAGATCTTTAATTAGATCTATTTCCTTCAAAGGCTTACTCTGTATTATTTCCTATCCTTTTTTGTCCTCCTTCCCATCCAACCCAGTGCCAGTTTTCAGCTGAGCCCCTCTGTTTTTCCGGAACCCACTGCCAAAGCATCTTCTACTAGATGTTGCCCATTGCCCATAAATAAGAAAGCAATGTCTTGCTGGCCTGAAAATGCTCACAGAGGCTTCATAGACACCTTGTTTTATTCCTAGCCAATGCTTCATATGCTAAGACATCAGATTTAAATGTTTTCAGCTTCTTGGAAAGAAAGTCCTCCATAAACTGAACGCTCTAGTTATGTCACTGAGGCATTTAAGTTGTTACAAAGGTGAGACTAAAAGTATGTAAAATAGGTGACGCTCAAGAGAAAACTTGAAGGGACTGGAGGTTTAGCTCAGCGGCATAAGCACCTGCCTTGCAAGCAGGCAGTCGTGAGTTCGATCCCCGGTACCAATAAAAAGGAAAAAGACAAAAAAAAAAAGAGAAAACTTGAATGCAGTTTAGGGACTTCAGAGAAGGAACTTCCTTAATGCAGAAGAAGACTTCCAATTAAAGCCTGTTTGCCTTTCCTTCCTTCCCCACCTCAAGACTACAGCTGCTGCTCATCACAGTGAAGCCATTCACATGGATTGTTACACACACATTGGGGGATGTGGTTACCTTGAAGGCTTCTGGACCTATGGCTGAAGAAGTGATATTATTTTTGCTCAGATCAAGCCTTTCCAGATTCGGTAATCCATTAAATGCTTCATTCGGGATGGAGCTGATAGCATTCCCTAGGACACGGAGCAGTTGTGTTAGACATATGCAAATATCCAGACATGTACACATTTGTATGCATATCAAGAGAGAGCTAGGTCTGAAGGGAAAAACAATACTCAGAACAAGGGCAGGAAATGCATAAACAAGTGCGTGTTTGGAAAATAGTCCTGGGACTAGATAATTCACCATAGTCAGAATTTTCTAAGGATTCGTCATAGTCCATGCCTGATGTTTCAGATGAAGCTGCTTAAACACCCAGAGTGCAGTCTGCTGGACAGAACTAATAACATTATGCATCAACAGAAAACGAAGTGTTTCTATGAGGTTGTACAGAAACTGATTTTGTTCTTCATATTTTTCTATTGCAGTTTCCCTGGGGTGGGAGCATGATGTTATTTATCCAAGAGATCAGGCCAACCACTCACCTCCTCTGAACATGTGTCCTTCCTGTATAAACAACTTGGGAAGATCATCTCAGGCCCCACCCCACCCCCATATCTGACATTATCTCTCTGCCCACGGAGGGGAATAACAAATCTACTGAGTTCTTTGCACTTATTTTAAGAACTTTTGTTTTGATACCTTAGTTAAGGATAGTAGTCAGTGATTTTTTTTTAGTTGATTTTAGACACAGAAAATGACCTTTCCAGAAATAATACATACTATAAAAACCATAGGGTACTGCTTATATAATCCCAATACTCTGGAAGGCTGAGGCAAGAGGACCACAAGCCTGAGCAACTTGACAACTTAGTGACAGCTTTCTTAAAAGGGTGACGATATAGTTCTGCATGAAGGCCACGGATTTTAAGACCTAGTACCACCCCCAACACACACACACACACACACACACACACACACACACACACCCCAGCCCAGCCCATAATCCCTGTACTGAAAGAGGTCGAGGCAGGAAGATGACCTCTTGGGGTCCCACCTGAGTCTCCTGGGTTTGATTCCCCAATACTAGGGGGAAAATGTAGTAACCTTTTTGTAAAATGCAGACAGTATAGCCCAACATGGTCATTTATCCTTCCTGGACCCACTGGGTTTTCTTAGGGTAGAGCATACGTCACACAGAGGCTATGAAAGTTTGCCGTGCAAGTTACTAGGTGAGATGAAAGTGAAATGAAAGCCTCTGTTATGAAGGCCATGGAAGCCTCTAGTACACTAGATGCCAGCAGCACCTCACTTCAGAGAGGGATCTGCAGGAGTATGTAGGGCCTGCTCTCCTGTCCTCACCCACCCCCGCACCTTCAGGCCCACCTGCCGTACCGCCCTCACCTGCCCTTCACACCTGCTCTTGCTGTCCTCCACCCAGAACCCTCCCTGGTGGCTTTTACAGCACCGCGAACAAAAGGTCCAGAAATTCTATTCCCGCAGAAGTGGCTGGAGCCAGGGGGAATCGGCTCTACTGTGCTGGCATGGTGTGGCAGGAACATGCCGAGGGCATGCCGAGGGTGAGCCCCCTTGGAGAACCGTCCAGTGGACTCTACATAGTGAAACTTGGGTTTCCCCATCCAGCTGAGCAGTTCCGTCCCTGGGCATAACCCTGGAGAGATGAGGTCATAGGTCCACACAGACATTTATACGCACACATTGTCTTGCCAGGAAACAGCCCAGAGGTCCCTCACTGGTAACTGCTCTTTATACAGCAGGACACTACCTGCCATACAAACGAGTGACACATCCGAAACAGGATTCAGCTCTAAGAGCATTAGACACTCCACCAGAAAGGCTCCCTATCCTGTGTGTATGTGACAGCCTCAAAAAGGCAAAACCATAGGGATAGAAGACATTTTTCTGTCACAGCCAGGGACGAGGGAAGGTGGAGAAGGAGGAACTTTGGGGAGTGATGGGGGCGTTCTGTGTCTTGATCACGGCAGTGCATACACAGCTCTCAGAGCTGCTCTACACCAAAGATCACTTCTACTGTGTACAAATTATAGCCCATTGAAGCTGACTTTTTAAAAGGTGTGTGGAAAATCATTTGATTTGGTGGTTATTTCACACCTAAGCCTTCTGAAGTACGGTTCTGTCTTCTAGAGAGCTCATGTGTGTGAAGCTGATGGAATTAATCTCTGTCGTGAGATTGAAACACAGCATTCATACAGCAGCAAGGGTCGCATTTATGTCGAAAGCACAAAACAAAACAGCATCGATGTCTCTTACCTGCAAGCTCCAGGTTTGTGATCTCCGGGGCCATCAGTGGTGGGATGTGAGTCAGGGCAGCATGGGCACAGCTGATGGTCCTGTAGGACAAGGAGCAGCCGCTTGGCAGGCGTGGCCTGCCCCTGGGGGGAGCGGGGAAGGGGAGGTGGCAGGGCACTGGGAGTGCGTCTCCTCTTACAGCCTCTTCCTCTTCCTCCCCTTCCTCCTCCTCTTCCTCCTCTTCATCCTCTTCCTCCGCCTGCCCCCTTCCACAGCGTGGCTGCTGATGTGCTGGCCTCCCTGCATTGCCAGGCCTCTGCCTGCCGTCTCCTCTGCTCTCCCCCTCACCGTGAGGTCCACCCTGGCCCCTGTGTCCAGAGGTCTCTTTCTTGTGCTCTCCATCTCCTTTAGTTTCTTCCCCGGCCTCCTCAGATTGAAGCGCTGCTTTTCCAAATACTTGGTCCATTTCTACCTGAGGAGGTGGCAGTTGCTTAGGAAGCACATTGGTCGGTTCTCTTTGTTCTGAAGAATCACCAGAAAATTCAGTTCTATCATTTACTGTACTACCATTGGCAAGGGAGTAGGAGAGAACTGGCCACGCAGGGAGGAGTGAGCAGGGGCAAGTCGATGGCGTTAATAAGAGGAAAAATCACAATGAAAAGGAGGTTAGTAAATATTATTCCCTCCAAGTGATTGAGTGCCATTTAAAAATGAAATGCATCTTCAATTTTCTTTTTGCAAAGTTTTAACTGTAACTATTTCCATTTTATAAGATCTGTTATAATTTTTCATGCTTCTGTGCCTCTGCTAGTCTTTGCATTGAATGACATGTGTTTTTGCTAGAATATGGTCTGCCATGGGACTAAAGAGGGAATAATATTGCCACATGATGCAAAATAGCAACGTTATCATGAGCTTGTGATATCATCAGATGTGATACCTTTATAATAGATACTGTTCCATTTATTTGAGTCTTTGTGGTTTAGTTTGGTTTTGTTTTGGTTTTGATTTCAGCCTTGGTTTCTAGAGATAGGGTCTCTCTATGTAGTTCAGGCTGGCCTTGAACTTGGGAGAGTCTTCCTGCCTCAGCTTCCCAAGCACAGGCGTGAGCTACTGCACTCAGCCTGGGTCATTTTTTATATAAGAATTTACAGTCTGTCTTCAGGTATAAAATGTTAAAACAGGTATACATTTTACTATGGTAATAAACTGCTTTTGTTTATATATTTATTTCTTTCACCCATTTTTTTCCCTCAGCTCCAAGGGCCTGATAGCATGCCGTGAAATCAGAATTATAAAGTTCTCTTTTTCTCTGCTGAATTTTCCACATAAATTGGCTTTTCTGCCTGAGAATTGTGCATGGCACCCTGGACCTAAGTTCCATTGCTTTCCTAGACATGTACTGAAGTGCTGTTCATCACACCACAGTGCTGGGAGCGGAACAGACACTCATAGAAAGCTACTCTAACTTACATATGGCTCTATCGGCGGCAGGACTTAGGGAATGCAGGGCGTGAGTCTAAATTCAGTCTCAGCCAGGTGTCGTGGCACACCCCTGCAATCCCAGCAGCTGGAAGGCTGAGGCAAGAGGATCGCTGTGAGTTTGAGGCCAGCCCAAACTATGTAGTGAGACTGTCTCAAAAAACCAAAATAGTTAATCTCACCCACTCAGTTCTGGGGAAAAGTGAGCTTCCATGCACAAGCTTTCCTCCATCAAAGCTTATGAATTCATTTTATCATCTTTCTGTTTTCATTTAATGCTACGTGTGAACCACTCCTTGGAGAAACTCAGGAAATTTAATTATTTGAAGAAATTACTTGGGATATCATTTCAGTATGTATTATAAAGTCTGGGAGTTTTTTAGATCTCTCACAAAACATGCAGAGAAAAGAACGAGAAAAAAATCGGTCAAAGGAAACTAAAGCTGTCACATAGAAGCATGTAAAATCCTCCCCTGGGCTGGGGGTTTAGCTTAGTGGCACAGCGCCTGCCTGGCAAGCATAAGGTCATGAGTTCAAGCCCTGATGCCAAAAAAAAAAAAAAAAATCCTCCCATATATTCCAACTTTATTTTTCCAAGATAACATTTCAAGAATATGTAGGCTCTTGAAAAACATCTAAGAATTTCTTGTATCTTGCCTTATAAATCTTGTGTTTCACTCTAAGGAATCAATTTCATTGAACCTTTTCTAGCATTTTTCAAAAAACATAATTTTTCATTGATTATACAAAGCAAAATACAATTCCTAAGTATTCTGTAGTTCTTCCTCGCAGGAGACTTTTGCCCTGTGATCATCTGAATGAGATACCAGTTGACCTTAGTTATAGACGAGAGAAAATGTCTCTGTCTCTGACTGGGAAATTATTTATTTAATACCTGCTTACCTATTTTCAGAAATAACCAGCTAAGCTTCTCTTTCATAGGCTGCTTCTCCTAGAAGAGGCCTGCAGGGAGCCACACTGTGACCAGCACTGAGTGTGGCGCTAGGACCCAATGCTCTTCCCACACTTGTATGTGTCCCAGGGTCACTGAGGCCGCGCTGGGCTGTGGGTTGCCTGGGAGAACAGCCGGAGAGTGCAGGCTGCATTCTGTCCACGTGCAAGCCACTCCTCCTCTGTTCTGTGACCTCAGTGACTTCATTTCAGATAACTGCACCCAGTGCGATCTGGGGTAAATGAGCTACAGTACGTACAGACCACAGCAGAGCCCTTAATCCCTAGTTCAAGGCCTGTTGTAGAAATCCCATGGTGATAGCACTAACACTAAGAGTCACATGTGCATGTGATCTGGTCTTCGTTTACTCACGTTAACCTGAACGATAAGGCCATATTCTGTTACCCCAGTCAACCTCCCGTCCACTGCCCCAGGTATTTCTGTTTATCAGCATCGTGCCTGACAATTAGGCTGTTACTACCTTAAAGTAGTGACAAAACAGAAACAAAAGAATTGACTGAACCACACACAATGTTTTGTTTTGGCTACATCTCTGTACCAGTATCAGTGCAGACCGGGCAGCATTCTCCTTCGGGTGTGAGCTTGTAAGGGCACGTCTGGGGTTGGCACATGGTTTTGTCACAAAGCACTCTTCCGTCTGAGCAGAGGCAGGTGGTACAGGGGTCAGGAGACCATACAGCTTTGTTGTACATGGTCATGCCCTTCACCAAGCAGTGTCCCTTTTTTCCTAAAAGAACACAGGTAATTTAACAGTCACTTAAATTATCTAGGTGGTTGCCAGCATCTCTGAATAGAATTAAATGCTGAATAAAGTCAGACTGATCTAGCTACACAAGGATAAAATCCTGTGTGTTTCTGCAGAGTAAACACGTCCTTCCAGCACAGCCCCTGGAGATGCTTCTCACTCACGCTCCTTTCAGCCTCTCTCTGAGCTCTGAGAGTGACCTCCTCGTGGTGTCTGTCCATGAACTGCAATTCCAGCTTGTATCTATCGGGACAGCCTGAGTGCAGAACCAAGCAACCCTCAAATCTTAGTTTTCTCATTGAATCGTGTGTCCAGTGTGGGAACGCGGGCTCAATGGGCTCATTTTAGTCACACGGTAGCAGACAGCAGGGTTCTGCAAACACACTGCCATGTTTGCCACAGTGGTGAGAAGGGGAGGTTGCAAACTGCTGCCTGAGTTTTAAAGGTATCTAATTATACAAGCCACGACAGACGGCTACACCTAACCAAAGCTGTGTAGTTTGCTCTCAGCCCTGAGAGCCGGAAGAGCACTGAGAAGCACACTGTCCAATTTTGTTTACATGCACAGGGGAAAGGTGAGACTTCTGTGGGCTTCTTAGACACCGCAGTGCTCATTTTTGGATTACTGCTTTATGAAAATGAAATTCACAGACCATAATAGTTACCCGTAAAAAGCACAATGAAGTACACAGTGCACACTGTGGGTTGGATACACCTTTATGACAATAAAACATATTTTTAACTAAAGGGAGCTTTGCTCCTTACATATTAACTATATTATATGCAGCCCAAGACAATTCCTGTTCCCTGTGAGCCAAGCAAGCCAGGTACATGTAACCCATGGCAACCCTGCGTCCCTGAAATGGTCCTAGAGAACCGAGGGGAATCTCAGAGGAATGTCTCCCATCCATGGTGTCATTCTTGCTAACCCCTCCACCTGAGCCCGCATCTGCACACTCTGCCCTCAGATGATCTCACACTGGACACTCATCCTATCTCCACGCCGCACCCGCTCCATTTAGACCTACCCATGTCTCACTCGGGTGCTTGCAATCAGCTGGTCCCACTCATTCAGTCACTCCTCTGGAGAGGGAACTTAGGTTTTCTCTTCCTGATTGTATAACTACTATCCGGGCCTACACACTATCAAAATTTCAACAGTTGGTTGGTTGGTTGGTTTTGCAGAAGAAGAAATGCTGGTCCTCAAATTGTTACAGATTTGTAAGGGATCCCAAGTAGCCAAGACAATATTGAGAAAAAAGAACCAAGTCTGACTTCTCAACTTACACATTTCTAAACATTACAAAAGGTTTGCTCCCAAGCCACACTAATCATCTTCGCCACCATGAAGAAAGTAAGTTAAGACATATCTATGGCCAGTTAATTTTCTAAAAAGGTGGTAAGAACATTCAGTGAGGGAAGAAAATTGTTCCTCAACAAATGTTGTTGTTGAGACAACTGGATAACCACATGCAAAAGAATGGAGCTGAACTCCCACCTTACAATATCAGATACAAAAATTAGCTCAAAATGATTCAAATCCCTAAATGTAAAAGCTTAAGACTGCAGAACTCTTAGAAGACATATGAGTAAATCTTCATGATCTTATAGTTGGCAATAAACTCTTAGATATGACACCAGAAGCACAAGCAAAAAGAAGGAAAGATGAATTAGACTTCATTAAAATTTAAAATGTAGTACATCAAAGGCTATTGTCAAAAAAAGTAAAAAGGTAACATACATGATGAGAGAAAATTTTGCCAATCATATATCTGATTTAATGTGTAATATCCAAGACATACAAAAGAACTCTCAACAAAAGGACAACCCAATTATAAAATGGGCAGGCCAGGCATACCTAAGAATGCTAACACTTGGGAGGCTAAGGCAGGATGATTGTAAGGTTAAGGCCATCTTGAGCTACAAACAAGACACTACACTACAAATAAAAAACAAAAAGGGACTTGAATATACACTTTTCTTGCAAAGGACTTGAATATAAACTTTTCTAAAGAAGACACACAAGTCAAAAAAAGATGTCCAACATCAACCAAAAGCACAGTGAGATACCATTTCCTGCATATAATCAAAAAGAAAAAAATACAGGATTATCACATGGCCTAGAAGTTCTACTCCTAGATTTATACTCAAAAGAATTGAAACCAGATGTTCAAATAAAATTTATATACAAATGTTCATGGCTGGGCCACATACAATAGCTAAGAGGTGGAAACAAACCAAATACCTGTCATAAAGTGATGCATAGATAAACAAAATGTAGCCTGTACATACAAGGGAATGTTATTCCACCACAACAAGGGCTCACCATGGGTGAACTCTGGACTCGTGCTCCATGAATGGAGCCAGATGCAAAACACTGCATGATGTGATTCAATTTATGTGAAATTTTCCAGAATAAGTTTATAGAATAGATAAGGGCTGTCAGGATTGGGAATAGGGAAGAATGAGGAGTTTTGTACAGGGTTTCCGTGTAAGGTGTTGAAAATGTTCAGAAACTATTTAGTGGTGGTCACTGCACAATATTGTGAATATACTAAACACCACCAAAGTGTATAACTGAAATATTAATTTGTATGTTATATGAGCTAATGCAAATTTTTTTTTGGTCTTTTTCGTTTTTATCAGTACCAGGGATCGAATTCACGACTGCCTGCTTGCAAGGCAGGCGCTTATGCCGCTGAGCTAAATCCCCAGCCCCACTAATGCAATTTTTAAAAAATACATTATGAGCACAGGAAAACTTGGAATAACTAGAGATGTTTAGTATACAACTGTTATACTTTAGAAAGTGTGCATCACCCTGTATTAATTTTTTTTTAAATCACACACAGTAGCATGCGCCTGTAGTTGCAGCTGCTTGAGAAGCTCAACCAGGAGGATAGATGGAGTCCAAGAGCTGGATGCCAGGATGGGCAACATAGTAGGAATTTATATTAGACAAATAGAATGAATAAAATAGAATTTCAACCACTTAGCAGTTTACCCCAAGCATTACTTGGGCAGTACATTTGTTTATGTGCTGACCACCCAAGCATCACTCAGGCAGGTCTCATTTCAACCAGCCAATTCTTGTTTCTGCAATGTACACTCCTATGTCTGTGTTGGGTTTTTTTTTGGCGGGGGGGGGGGGGTGGTGCTGGAGATCAAACTCACGACCTCGTATTTGCCATGCAGGCACTTATGTCGCTGAGTTAAACCTATGTCTGTTTTATGTCAACTACTTTTGCTGCTTTTTTTTATTTAGAACACTGTATTCACCTTAGATGTCTGTGTCTAGTGAAATCTAATAAGTTTTGAATATTTTCTGTTACTAATTCATGTTTACTTGTGAAAAATGAACTATAATTTTGTGCTACCATTTACAAAAATTCTTTGTAATTGCATTAGATACAATTTTTATACTCATCCAGAACTCAGTGATGATCTTTTACAACACAAAATGGACACATTCAGGACACTGAGGCTGAACAGGAAGGAAATGCCAAAAAATCTGCAAAAGAAAACAACTGAAAAAGGAAAAACAGCATATTGGAGAGAAAAATCTGTGTTATGAAATGGAGAGACAAAAAAGATGTTTCCTTATTGTCAAGTATTCATAATACAGAAATAATAGATCTTAAGAAAGGAAACTAAAAGAATTCCAGTAGTTGCTAGTGATTATAATAATTGTATGGCTGGTGTTGACAGAAGTGACCAACATCTTACAAGCTATCCTAAAATCAAAAAACAAGGGAAAAATATTATTACAAAATACATATGCATCTTTTGAACCAAACAATATGGAATTCATTTTGTTATTTATTTAAAACATTGTAGGTTCAAAAAGTCACTTAAAATTTCGATGAGGTCTAGTATACCAAATAATGGAAAAACAGACCAGGGCGTGTGTCATCAGTGTGTTCACCATTAGATATTTTATTGAAAATATTCCACGCACAGAAGGAAAGGAAAGGCCAACCCAGCAGCAGCAGGTGTGCTGTTCAAAGAAAGGCAGCAATGGAAAAGGATTTGAAAAGAGATGAAATCCTACTGTCCAGGTTGTACGGTTTCACTGTGTATTGAATGTTTTAAGATATATGATAAACAGAAAAATTATTTAATACATTTGATAAAATTGTTTTTGTATTTCCTGTTACAAAAATTAATGAAAAAGTAGGCAGTTTTGGTCATCCTGTTCTAAATAATTGGACTGCTAGGTGTTTAAAACAGAGGTGAGATCATAGTATGTGTACTTCTTTTTGGCTTTCAATCTGTTATTTATTTATTTATTTATTTATTTATTTATTTATTTATTTATTATCTTTTTGAGACAGAATCTTGCTATGCAGTTTGGATTGGCCTTGAACTCACTTTGTAACCCAGTCTAGCCTCAGCCTTCCAAGTGCTAGAGATTATAGGTGTGGTCCACCATGCCCAGCCTCAATCTTCTATTATTATACCTTGGATATCTTTTGATTTAAATAAGAAAATTGATTTTAACTTTTTTTTTGGTACTGGGGATTGAACTTATAATCTTGCACTTGTCAGACAGGCACTTATGCCTCTGAGCTAAATCTCCAGCCCCTGATTTTATCATTCTTTGGCAGCTGTGCATGTACTATTATTATACTGTAGTGGAGTTGTCCTTTTAGTTGATTTCTCTGCCTCTTCTTTCCCCGCTCATGTTTGGTGTGGCCCGAATTGCCTACTTTCATAGTAATTGTTATTTCTATTAGCTTCGTGGAAATAGTAGTTTAGAAGCATTTAGCTTTATTGAGACAATAAGTCACAAAAAAAATATAGTGATTTTTTTGTCTCTTCAAAGTTTTATTTAATGGTATATGTAAAATATTTTTGCTCTAAACTTGGAAAAAGATCATTAAATACTAATTTTTAGTTGAACATGTGGCGAACACCTATAACCCCAGCTACTCTAGAGACTGAAACATGAGAATCATGGGTTCAAGGCTAGCCTTGAGAACTTTAGTGAGACCCTGAATCAAGTTTTTTAAAAAGTTCCAAAGGGCTGAGGATGTAGTTTAGTGGTTAGGTTCTTGCATACCTAAGGCTTGCATACATAAAGGCTTTGGATTCAAACCCAGTACCCAAAACAAAAAGAAATAAAACCAAAAAATAAACTCATATTTATTCATGCTTCATTTAACTCTTCAGTTTTTAAAAATCCATAGTGTGGTTTCTATAAAATAAATTCAATAATTTGCACTCATTTGTATTTTAAAAAATTTTGTTTGAAAATATTTAGTAGCCCAGGAAGAATCTCAACTAAGAGTTAAAGCCCACAGGAAGAGCAAAGAGAGAGGCCTCAATGAAGAAGAAGAAAGAGGTGGCAAGTGACACTTTCTCCCTGAGCCCTGACTCACTTTGTGAGTCACTGTGTGTGGGAGGGGTGGTTTGAACCTGCAGACACACGGTAAATATTGGCCACCCAGGGGCCTCCCCAGAGAAATGTACCAGCGGACAGAGCAGCGGACACAGCAGACTGCAGTGCCTGTTTTTGTTACATAACCACAAATCTAGTCATAGAGTTAAACATGGCAAATTAAGAGTTACCACAGTCTGTCATTTTCTAAGCTGTATTTGATGCCATCGTCACTGCTGATTGTCCTGCTTCAGCCAAGGTGACATAATTGTTTTAATCAGTTCTTCCTGGAGTGCCAAGACTGAGATTGCCTAAGGGTCGTAAAAAGTATTATAGGCAGTCTGATGGAGCAAGGAGCTAGGCCAAATACGGTTCAACTTCTTAACCTCAGTAAATTGGAGAAGCAGAATTTTGCAGCAAACTCAAAACCCAAAACCCAGCTACACTGGGAAGATACCTCTGAGAAGTACTCACCTAAAGGTTCTACTTGCTATAAGCAATTTACATGCATCAGTCCAGGAATTAAGTGGAAAAAAAAAATGAGAAGACACTTAAGATGCAACCCCAGAAGTCTACCTCATCAGAGGCAAACCCAGTCGGCAAGGAGGTGAGACAACTCGAAAACCACCCATCTGGTCTCTGAGTGGCAACAGCAAAAGTAACAAAGCAGATGCAGCTCTAGAAAAAATAAAATCATAAATAACTTCGCAGGCAGGGGATTTAATTCAGCAGCATAAGCACTTGCCTGGCAAGTATGAGGTTGCAAGTTTGATCCCCGGTACCAAAAACAAAACAAAAAGACACGTAACTACAGATATAGTAACCATAATGACAGACTTGGTTAAAAAAAAAAGAAATAGAAGAACTTAGGAAAATGATGGAAACTATGGACTCCTCAGCATAGGAAAGAAATGGAATCCATGAAACAGATTCAAACAAGTATCCAGGACATTAAAAATTCCATTGAAGGTATACACAGCAAAAAGAGCCAGTGTGTGAACAGGACATCAGTATAGAAGATGGGACTATGGTTAATGATCATGAAAAAAAAAAAAAAAAGATTTCTTAAAAATAACAAGGGACCACAAAAATCAGTCTAGCAGCTGCTCAATAATGTAAGAATTAGCATAACATCATTCAGAGTCAATGAAAAAGAAAATTAATGAAAAAAAAACTTCCCAAGCAGGGAAAAAGAATTAGACACACAGACAAATAAAGAATATAAAGTTATAATTAGCCATGATAAAAAAAAACCTACAAAAAGGCATATAATAATCAAGATTCCAGAAATGTAACCCAAGAACAGAATGTTAAAGCTATTAGAAAAAAGAAATAGATCACATATAAAGGAAAGCCTATCAGAATCATAGCCGAATTCTCAACACAAACCCCATCAAAGAGAGCGTGTAATGAAGTATTTCAAGCCATAAGAGAAAACAGTCTCCCACCTTGATTGATGTACCCCACAAGCTGTCTTTCAAAACTGATAGATAAATAAGATACTTCTGTGACACAAAACGTGAAGAAATTCACAGTCACCAAAAGCAGTGCTCTAGAATGTTCTGAAGGGCCGTCTACAAAGGGATAATGAGAACTACAACTCCAGGAACCCCAACAAAAGGAATCTACCAGGCCACACAAGCAGCTAAACAGAGGAGAAAGCTGGGTGCGGTGGCCCATGCCTATAATTCTGACACTCGGGAGGCCGATGTAGGAGGATCGCTGCAAGTTCAAGGCCTGTCTGAACTACAAAGTGAGGTCACAGCCAGCCTGAACTGCATCGTGAAAGTCTGTCTCAAAAAGACAACAACAACAAAAAGGAAAATCAACAATAGGAAAGTAACACGATGAGAATATAAGTCAATATGCATCAGTTATAACCATCAATGTTAATAGTCTCAATTTCCCAATCAAGATAAAAGAAGACTGGCAGAATGGATGAAGCAGCAAGATCCAATAGTATGCTGTATACAGAAACACATTTAATAAAATATCTAATAGCCATGTGTTCTTAAAGTCACCTGAGTAATTTCCGTTCTGAATGATCTGTCATAAATGAAAAAACACTTTACAAATTAATATTTATATACTATGTATTATAATTATAACTATTTAAAATAGATGCATAATACACAAAAACCCAAAAATGATAACTATGATTTTATAAGCATAGTGGTAGGATAAGTATATTTTTCTTTTGCTAATCATTTTGTATCAATATATTCCTAAAACAATCTTTTTAAATTATTTTTTATTTTTTATTTTTTTGGTCTTTTTTGTTTTTATCGGTACCAGGGATCGAACTCACGACTGCCTGCTTGCAAGGCAGGCACTTATGCCGCTGAGCTAAACCCCCAGCCCCTAAATTATTTTTAAATTGGTTTATAGATTAAAACAAAAGGTAATAAAATAACTTGTGTTTTTCTCTGGAAGTTTGATTTCCTGGAGGGCCTTACCCTCTCTGCCTCCCATCCCCTTTTCTCATACCATTCTTTTACCTGGTAACACATTGTAGCTTGATTCTACTCCAGGAAGATTTAAAAAGGATTCAAACTTTTCCTCCGTGCTGTAATCGAGGTTAATGATGGGAAAGGTTGCTATTGGTGCAGTGGTCGTTGTTTGTTGGATTCCCTGCTGTCTCTTTGACCTCTGGTTGAGTGATGAGTTTTTCCTTAGTCGTCTGTGATACATCTTCCTCCTTTGTTTCCTAGGAATTTCCTCATTTTGTCCAAAGTCAATTTGAAAAACGATAAGCAGAAAAAAACAAAACAAAAACGCAAACTTCATGTCTGATGTTTCGCCAATTTCTAGAGTGAAACAGAATTTCCAAGTTAGTAGTGACTTTTTTGCCATTGAAAATTGACTTATAACTGCTTGTATACCTCAGGAATAGGTCTTTGAGAAATATCACAGATATGCTATGCATTTTAGTGTTACTGCCCAATCAGAATTTGGAATTTTTCTATCAGAATCAAGGAACTTTTCATATATTTATTTCTAGACCCATCATGAGCAAACTTTTCTGTGAAAGGCTAGATAATAAATACTTCAGACTGTTCTCTGTCCTAACTGTTCAACATTACCTTGAAGCATGGAATCAGCCATGGTGATACATAAACGATTGTGACACTGCTCCAGTAAAATAACTGTGACAATAGGAACAGACAGTACCAAGCTGGACACGGTGGAGCTTACCTGCGATCCCACGGCCATAGTGAGACCCTGTTCCAAAATATATGTATATATTGTTAAATTCGCAATTCTCCCTCCCGTTTACCACACTAATTTGTCACAAAGCCAGTCAGAATTCTAGCAGACAGGGGCTGGGGATTTAGCTCAGCGGCATAAAGTGCCTGCCTTGCAAGCAGGCAGTCGTGAGTTCAATCCCCAGTACCGGTAAAAAGGAAAAAGATGCAAAAAAAAAAAAAAAAAAACATTCTAGCAGACAATTTTGACAAAAATTGACCAGGTGATTCTGAAATGTCTGTAGCAGTGTGTGTGGGCAGTGCAAGCTGCTCTGTGTGAGCGTGTGGGTGCTTGGCTCAGCTCAGGAACATGACACCATGTGAGACAGGTGGGTGCACCACCACGAGGGAGTCTTGGGAGCACTCAGTGTGTTGATTTTCTTGATTAAATATATTCGCTGTAATTTTCAGTTGTCCCTACTACGGTATTTGGACAAGGCCATCACTTAGGTTCTGAAAAAGAGGTTGACTTACTGGAATCACGCATCCGAAGCATGAAATGAGCAGCATTCACGATCTAAACCTGGCTGAGGTTCTTAATACACAGGGACCGGGGGAACCGGACTGCAAGGCTGGTAGCAGTTTAGAGCTGAGGTCAGGAGAGTAAGGACCAGAATGCTGCATTGAACCTCCTGCTTGTTTGAGTACAACCTACTAATGAAAGTATTTTTATTGTTTCCAAGTGGTTAAGTAAAATTAGAGAACTGAGGGTAAGACACAGTGGCAGGCTGCTTGCCGAGCGTATGCAAGGCCCCAGAGTTTGATTCTTGGCACACACAAAAAAAGGAAAACAACCGCATACAGTTTTACCTCACGATGTCTAATTAGCCCTGCCCTAAGTGCGTTCAAAAAAAGAACGAGGGCAGGAGTCTGGGACTGTTGCTCAGTGACAGCTCAGTTGCTTAGCATGCCGAAGGCCCAGGCAGGTTGAAGCCTCAGCACCACCAGATTAAAACCTGGGCTGGAGGTACAGTTCAGCCATGGAACACTTGTCAGGCATTCACCAGAGCTTGGAGCAGTGTTAAAAGGATAAAGAAAAAATACAGAAAAATATTTCATGTAGATAAAATTTAATATAAAGTTTCAGTATACATAGCCATGGTCATTTATTTAAGTATTGTTTTTGGTTATGCACAACAGCAGAGTTCAAGACCTGCAGCAAGAGACGCATACTGTGAGCTTCAGAAGTTAAAATAGTTTACAGCAAAAGTTGGCCAATGTTTAGAGCAATGCTCCTCAACTGAGGGTGATCCCCCAACAACATTTAGTAATACTGTTTTGTTTTTTGAGACAGGGTCTCACTGTGCAGTGTTAGCTAGCCGTGAGCTCATTGTGTGACCCAGGCTAACCGTAAACTTTCCAGTTTCGTGCCTCAGCCTCTACAGTACTAGGATCACAGATGTGATCCACCGTGACTATCTGGGGATGATTTCTGTGGTCACAATTTGCTACAGCTACTCACCATGAAGAAGCTAAGGGTGCCATAAGCTCCTTACAGTGCACAGGACAGCTCACTGCAGCCCAGAAATAGTGGGGTAAAATGTTGGTTGATAGTGCTGAGGTCGAGGAGCCTCGATTTAGAGAAATAGTTGCTTTAGGGTTTTAATCAAGACAGTCACATGTCGCTGAAGCCAAAACGTAACAGCTTATAATTGAATAGAATCTGACAGTGCTTAGTTATCAAAAGGGAGAGTGGAAAATAGGCCAGTCATCATTCCCACATGACAACCTAGTGCCCCAAGTGTTCTCCTAACACCAGGTGTTACGGCTTAAAATGTACTCCAAGTTACTAAAAAAATTTTTAAAAATCAAAATTCTGCAGCTGTAATGCAGAAAAAACAAACTTCCTTACCTGTAATTCATTTAGCACAAAAGTAGTCAGGTATTTTTTTATCAAGAGCCAAGCAGTAAGTATTTTGGACTTTGCACAACAATGGTCTCTGTCACAACTCCTCAACTTTGCTGTTGTAACGACAAATGAACCCTAGATGATACATAAATAATTGCATTTTGGTGGTGCTTTGCTTAGAAAACAGGAATTCGTTTTCTGGGCTGTAATTTCCCAACCCCAAGTTCCGGGTAACCTTTATAACAGTCTGTGTGTGTATGTATGTATGTATGTGTGTGTATTCTGTGTATTATGCTGAAACTGATTTCCACTTGGCAGTGCTTTATGGTTATTTGGTTATGTATATCAGTGCATATGAATCCATCAGGCCTTTACAATCTGTTTTCTCCCTATAAATTACTTAACAGTTTGGGAGTATATATTTTGATATATTTGATACTATATATTTCCTATTTTTGTTTTTTAAAAAATCTTAATCAATATATCTTTTGTGGTTTTTTGTTCTTAATTTTATTTTTAAATATATAAATAATATTCCTAGAGAGTCCTTTGTTTTAATTATGTCATTTTGGGTTTTTTAAATACAATTAATTTAACATTGATCAGTTTGGTCAAGTTCATTTACAAATCTTGAGGCTACATTATAAGGATACACATGTATAAATTTAGTTGTTCATATGGCACCCTTCTCCCTATCTCTAGTAGTACTTTTTGCCACAAGACCTACTTTGCCTAATGTTAGCATAGTTGCTTTCTTTTTGGTAATGTTTTTTTTTTCTTTTCTTTTGTTTTTTTGTAATGTTTTCTTAACATATTTGTCTGATTATTCTTTTAGCCTCTTATGTTACATTTTATGTGATTTTTATTAGTAACATTTTTACTGTAGTCTGATAATCTTTGTCTTTTGACTGAAGTATGTAATCAAGTTATATTTAAACTAATGCTTGGTATATCTGAGTCTAAAACTACTGTTTTACTCTGTGCTTTCTACTTTTCTTAACCGTTCTGTGTTACTTTTTCTTTTTTGCTTTTGCTTTAATTGATTATTTAGTTTCTGCTACTTGGTTAGTAATTACACCTTCTTTATATACATACTGTACTACACACTGAGTAGTACTAGGCTTGTGCTAGGCTAAGTACCAGTCAGCTACATCCCTCCCTTTTTACTTTTATTTCAAGACAGAGTCTTTGCTAAGTTCCCCAAGCTGGCATTGAACTTGCAATCCTTTTGCTGCAACATCCTGAGTAAATAGCTTGCAGTTACGCACCTTTTACTGTTCTTTTCTTGGTAGAAATTACCTCACCCCTCCTTGGCTTAGCAAAGGACCTTTGGGACCTTTGCCTCTTTCTAGACAATGAAAGAACTGTACCAAACTGACGCCAGTCTCTGTTCTGGCACATACGCTTTTTCTATTATGTGTTTTAATTCTATCTTTTAAACTTTCAAAAGATTATTATTTTGTACTCAACGTTCACTTAGAATCAGACCTCTTCGGCTGCTGTGCTATTAATGTTTTGGGTCTGATTGTTGTTCTCTGTGAGGAGCCAGCCTGGATAGGACAGGATACTTAACAGAGTCCTGGCCTCTCCCCAAGTTGTGACAACCAGAGCAGACATTACTAAAGGTAACTTTCCTTAGCTAAATGTTTACCCTTCTTAAGTTTCCTCATTCCCTCCTGTATCTCCCACTAATATTTGGATTATTTTCCATCTGACTAAATAATGTCTTTCATTTTATTTAGCTGGTCCTAGGGATCAAACTCAGACCTGCACTTGCCAGGCAGGCACTTACACCACTGAGCTAAATCCCTGGCCCTTGAAGAAGGTCTTTTAGTAAATACATCTGTGCAGGTCTGTTGAAAATGAGTTCTTTTTTGTGTGTTTCTCTCAAAATGCTCATATATTATCTTTATCCTGAAAGCAAGCAGTTGCTTGATATAGCACTGTCAGTTGACATGTATTTTTTTTTAATTTAAGGAGAAAAGAAAAAAAAAGCAGAGAAAGGGTACAAGTTATACAGATTTACAGAAAAAAAAATGAACAGTAGGAAATCACTCGTTAATGGATTACATATTGTCATCTTAGAAATAATTGTTCACAAAATTAAAGCTAGTAAAGTGGACATTCCAACAATAATACTGTAAGCAGTTCTGTTCAATGATCCAATAAAACTCTGTGATATCATTTTCTGTCTTATACACTTAAATATACATGCAGTTATATAGTTTAGAGCACTTTCTTTTCCTCTCTTTTGTACAATGACTATTACACATTTTGTGTTTCATTGCTCCCACGGTTCTTATTACTTTTTTGGAAGAGAGTAAAACCAAATGTGATATAACAGAACAGAATCGGTCAAGTCAAAAGGGTGGACATAATAGATAATGTAAAAACATAATACAAGGTGATCAACAGTGGTTACCATAATGCCTCCCGCTATCTCTAATAGAATTGCCTATATCATTAGTTATAATACAATTGAACAAAACAGTAAAGAACAAAACCGACAAACCAAAACATTGGAGACATTGTAGGTCTTCAAAAGTAGATAAAAGTCAACGAGAATGGGTGTTATAATGAATCTCATTATCTTCACAGCTGATGCCTAAACTTTCGAACCTGATACTATCCAGCAAAACAGAATAGGGGAACATCAGTCAAAAACAAGATGGTGAGAGTAATACAGGGCTTCAAATCGACATAATGGAAAGTC